CAAACAGTAATTGCTTTCTTGAAGGGGAAAACAAGATTCATTAATTTTTGACCTCCAAAGTTTACTAGCTAACATATCTGGACCATTTGTTTAAAAGTTTTCAGATAAGCAAGGGGAGGAGGCTAGAATGATCCATATGGTAATACACTAGACTTGGAGACATCAGTATGAACTCATGTTTAGCTTAACATAGTTACAGATGGTTATATATAGACATATTTATAGATGTGTGTATACATGGGTTAGTATTGAAGACTATCCTCTACCCACTCTGGGTCCTTTCTGACTGGGCTGCAAATTAAGTTGACATGAGACTGAATAGCAGGATAAAATCAAACAAAGCTTTATAACGCATATACATGGGAGAGACCCACTGGGTAACTGAGTATCTCGACAAATGGCGGAGGTTTTCACCTTAAATAGTATATTCAGGTAGACAAAGGATGATGCTGGGGGTAGGGGGGAGTCAGCCATGGGATATTACCAGAAAGCACGGTAAACAAGAGTATGCAGATTTAAGTCCTCGCCTTCTGCACCGATAAGAGTTTCTAGAGATAAGGTCATCCCCCCTGCTTGCCAGTACAGAGAGGGAGATACCTTTACAAATGGAGATTTCACTTATAAATGTACGTGTCTCTTACAAAGGGTAACTTCTACTTTTCAGAGCTTCTTTCTCTTCTGCACTTCCTTAAAAGTAACCAGCCCAAAATAATCCTCATGCCAAAGAGAAGCATTTTGAGGTGGCCAATTCTGATCTCCCACAGCATACACACATGTATTTCCTTGTTCTGTCAGCTGGAAGTCTTAAAATTTACTTAGTAGATTTGTTGCTGGTAGTGGTATTGTGTAACTTAAAACTACTTTGTGTGCATTGTAGGATATAGTGATGTTGTAGGAGACCAGGTTCTCACTGTGGAAGAAGTAAGAAAAAATATGGAGAGGAGAAAGATAAGAAAGGCTTGTAATTCCTGTTTCTGCCCATCAAATGAGCCTAGAAGCAACCCAGTAGCAATGAGCACACCTATAGCCCAGATCTGGGTTTCTAAATACCATATTCTCTCTAAAAGGAACCAGATCTCCTTGAAGAAATGGTTAATTCAAGGCCTGGGCCAGTGAAAGTTAAAAGCGAGCCTAGAATATCTTGTACTAGAAAACAGCAAAGTGCTCTAAGATTAATGAGGTCATAGGATCCATATTGAAGGGCCTTCCACTGGTAAAATTTGGGACAATTTGAGCACCAAAAATATTAATAATGCTTCAAAATTAATCCATGAGTCCTTAATGATGCCAAAAATAAAAGTGGGGGAGGGGAAGCTCTTCTTTACAGAAAAAATGCCAAGTACTAAGTGTAGAAGTGACAGTAATAAAAAATCACTGTTTTATAATCATCAACATAATAATTGTTACAGGAAAGGATCATCAATAGCTGGTAAAACAATTGAGTACAAGTTGGTTGCAATATAAAAAATTCAGGTAATATCAAAATATCAACTCACAGATTACTTCTTAATTACAATAAACACCACCTCAAGCATGTGATCAGCCTTAGCCTCACCACAATTGGATAAACTCACATTAGATGTCTCCTGACATGTTGCAATGAAAAGCGTAAAATGTTACCTGTACGTTATTTTGTTATATGAGTTGAAGGTTGATTACCATCACACTCTGATTATCTGATTTGTACATCTCCCCAGGAGAGATATACTCCTGAGTGGCCCTAATCAATACTTCTGTTGGCTGCTGGGCACCCACTCTCCTGATGAGGGTCTGGCTGGTCAAGGGCAATATTTGCCTTTTAGAATCTTTTTTTCTCTGCTTCCTGGGTTGGTACTCTAATCAACAGAGTTTTGTTGAGATATATCAGTACCTCTAGGCAGACAGTGATGTCTTATTCATCAGAAAGAGGGATTTTTTCTTTTTAAGCAGAGGTTGCCCCCAAAATGACAAACTAGGGGGAAAAATCAACAACTCTGAAACACATACGATAAAGAGTAATTTTTTTAATTTACAAAAGTCTCTTACAAATCAATAAGAAAAATATAGACAAGACAATCTCTCAAAAAGGGAAAAGAAAAGCAAATAGCAAATAGATTAATAGATCCTCCACCCCTGTGGGTGGGCAAAATGGCTGATGGGGCTCAAAAGATAAACACTTCCAGTTATAAAATAAATAAGTCATGGGACTGTAATTACAGCATGGTGACTATAGTTAATAATACTGTATTGCATATTTGAAAGTTGCTAAGAGAGTAAATCTTAAAAGCTCTCATTACAACAAAAAAATTTTTTTTGTAACTATGGTGATGGATGATGTTAACTAGACTTATTGTGGTGATCATTTTGAATTATATACAAATATTGAATCATTATATACCTGAAAAGTAATATAAGGTTTTATTTTACACCTGAAACTAATATAATGTTATATGTAAGTTATATCTCAATTAAAAAATGCTAAACAAAAAAAAGCTATGTATAGCATTAGTCTTATTTTATACAGATACTGGGAAAATTCTTTTTGTATTACTACTTAATGATAACATTACTGGTTTTTACTTATTTAACATAGTGAAAGTCAGTTTATCAGGCAAACCAATAATGTGAAATCTCTTTGAACGGTTAGTTCCACACTCACTGTTGTGAGCTTCTGGAGCAGGTCTTGCATCTCTGAATCCCTACCACACAGCAGTGTGCCTATTGCAAAAAATACCAGCAATGACCCTTGAAGGTCATAAGGATGTACTGCAACACTGAAGTAACTTCGGAACCATAAAAAACTAATTCTGTTCAGAGCGATTTCAGCGTAATTCAGAATTCAAATTCTTTGAAAACCAGTAATCAATATCTGGTATATAAGATAATTTATTCTCTATTAAGTTGTGTAATGCCCAATTACTTGAACAGAGAAATTATATCACCAACCTGCTAAACGTTAAGAGTTGCATCAATTAAGAAACTAAACTGTCAAGTGTGTGTGCATTATCTTTTCTGCCTGAAAGTAAATGATAAGGCAAATCATTATGCCTTATGTCAGTATCTTAAATTTGTTCAGTGAAAGTGGGGACTTATGTTATTAAAGATTGTAAATCTTCCATGGGAAGACCGTTTTGTTATGTGTTTGGTAGTAAGAGTAGCTCATTGGAGGCAGGCAAGAACTGAATCAAGACAAGATCCATTTAATTTTGGATTCCAAAGTCACCCTGTCTTCAATTGGTAGCAGTTAGGAAATGTTAAACCTGAGCCATCACCACTGTATCCCTACCACCTACCCTGGGGGATGCTTAAGAAATATTTGTTAAATGAAAAAAGGAAAAGATTAATGGTATCAGTAGAAAGAAGCCTTTAACTTCCCTGTGCTTTAAATTCCCCATTAGAGAAGTGCAAACGCATATACTATCCCACTTTTCTTCACTGCGTAGTAATGTTACGTACATCAATAAAATCGTGTGTGTTACACATCACAGGCTTTTAAACTGCATTTTGAGGGATGTCAATATTTTTAAACATTATTAGAGTTGCATGGGTTAAGTAGAATTTGAGTTATTAATTTTGCATATTTTTATTATTCCTTAATATACTATAGTTTGTTTTATTTCTTACTCCTGAATATCTTATCTTCTACTTTTATTATATATTCTAATATTTACTCTTCAGTTATACATTTATTCTCAATTAAGGATCAGATCAGGACAAATGGTATAATCATTGCTGGATATTTATTATATTTGTTTTACCATATCACACCTAAACAATATGAACTAGTAGAGAAAATTGATAATGTTCTACAACATGCATCTTATCCTGGACGGTGGTGCAGCTCCTTCTAAACTTTAAATCCCTAGTGCTAACTAGGGCAGAGCCTGGTGAATCATCAGTAAATACGGGTTGAAAGAACAGATGATTAATCAGACATTTTCCCTGTCTGGGAGCTCATGCGCGGTGAGGAGGATGGACTTACAAGCACCTCTGTCTGACAGCAGGCTTATGGGCAAGGAGGGCTCTGACCCTCCTCGAGAGTCTGGAGAGGAGAAGGTGATCAGATGTCAATTTACACACACTTCATTCACAACAAGATGCTTAAACAAGAAATCCAAGCCTTGGCCGCTGAGCATGGTGAGAACGAGTGCTTACTGAAGAGGCTGATTCCACTGGCCTGGGATTTCAAACAGAGGCTGTTTGGGGAAAAATTCAGTTCACTTTCCACAAGGAAGTGCGGAATGGAGCTTGGCTCCTCCGTTGCCTACCCTCCTCCAGCCTCTTCCCACCCCTGCTGGGTGGCCCTCTTCTCCAGAGGGTGACCAGTACGGACCTGGGAGGTGGCCCGCTCGCTGCCTCCTTCAGCTTTCCTAGAACTGTGCCACAATTTAAGGGACAATCTTTGAAAAATAAACGAACCACCTCAAACCTTAACTTCTTTAAGAAAATCCACAGTTCACTAAATAGCCTACTTTATTGAAGCTGTTAAAGATAAACAAAGCCGGCCACTAGTTAAGGCAGTGGAAACATTTTATTCAGTAACTACTGACAGTAGAGGAAGGAGCTGAGCTCCATTCCGATTTGCCAGAGGTGACTGGGCGTTCTGAAGGGAGACTGAGGCAGTAAGGAGGGAGAGCAGGCGCTCACAGAGAGACAAGCAAGGATCGGCCGGTGTAAATGTGATTAGGACAGCTGTGTCTGCTAGCCAGCAACTGTTCAAGAGAGGATTCTAACCTCCCACAGAGACTGGGAGACAGGCTCTGCCCTTTCCCATGATTACATTTCAAAGGAATGGCTCTCAGGTCCTTGAGAAAGACATTTCTGAGTTGTAGGAGATACATACACATCTCAAAGAGACAAAGGAGGGATTCATAATTGTAAGCCCATTTTAGTAACTGCTCTAAGAAAAGGAGGTCAGAGGCCTATCCTCAGACGTCGGCTGGAACAAACAGTGGACTTCCGCGGCAGCAGTGAGCTTTCTCAAGCAGGCGTTTGACGCGGTGGGGGGATGGGGTGCGGGGATGGGCGGGGCATTCTCGGGACTTGGCCTCACGCTGCCAGAAGCCATGCTCGAGTTTGGTCCTAGCGCAGAAGTTTCCGGGGAGTGGATTAGGGGCCGAAAGTTCTCAGCGCGTTCTGCCAGAAAAAGTAGTTCCTAAACGTTTTAAAATCTTCCCGTCTGCAACCCACGATCCACCCTCACTGTTCCCTGTGCTCCAGTCGAGCGCCTAAGGGGGCAGTATGAGAAGACAGGGGGGCAGCAGAGAGCGGGGGTGCTGTGTGGGCGGGCGAGGGGCTACCCTGGTTGGGTGATTGTCGCAGGGGCCCGGGAAGAAGCAGCAGCAAAGCGAAAGGGACCACGCCAGAGAAAGTGGGCGGGTGGCCCTGTTGCCTTGGGCGTCCCAGTCGCCTCTCGGCGGCGCCTGAGTACCCCGGCCGCTCTCTGCCTGGCTTCCCCCATCACCGCGCAGTGCCTGCCGCCGCGTTTACGCGTAACCCGTGCGGCCACCGCGGCGCGCGGCCAGGGCGCCAGGGCCAGCGGGTGAGCCAAGTCTGGCTCCTCCTCCGGCGGGGAGCAGTGAGCGCCTCCGCGCCCTCCGGGTCCGCTCGTCCGCGCTCAGCCCCGC